GATGGTGATGGGGAGAGCCGCATCCTGGATTCACTTTGTGGGAAGGTTGGGCAGCTTCTGTGTGAACAACTGACTGACTTGTTGCTAGGGAACAGTTGGGAGACATGCTTTTGATCTCCCATATGCTTACTACTAATAAATAAACAAATAACAATAATTACAACAAACCCCAAGCCTGTTGTATCTCCAGGATTAATTAATGATGAAATACAGCTGAAATTCTGTAAAAGAAAGCAGCAAGGTGGGTTAGATTTCACATTTGCCTGCTGCTTATGGAAATGATGGTTGAAATTAACATTTTTTTTTCCCCTCCTTAAAATTTACCTTAGCTGGATCAGGTTAGTGGGAGGAGTGGGGGAGTATTCCCTTCACAGACAGAGGATGAGCAGGCAGACAGTAAATCTCCCCATGCCAGTTTTACTCGCATCCAGTTTTTCTGCCTAGTACAGTTAAGTTTTTTAGATACTTTACTTGCATTTCTAATTCAGTTATTCTTCTGAAATTTATTCAAAGGATTTATGCTTATGAAATTATAATATAATGCTGCCTATATGCCAATGAGCTGCAGGCAAAGAAAATAATTTTCTTCAATTTACAGTTATGAGGCTGGAAGAAAATGATGCCTTCTTATCACCTCTTTTTCTTTGTATGCCTCAGTATTTTTTTAAGTCTTCAGAAGGCAGGAGCTGATGATGAATTCTTAAGCAGATCACACTGATAATTGTATTTCAGAACTGTCAACTCTGTGAAGACTGTCCACGGAGGTGTCTCAGTTCACTTGAGCTATTTGTGTCACTGCTTCTCCAGGAACTCAGCCCTCAATAAAACCCAAATCACTGGGGATATTGTTAAGTCTTCTGAAAGGATTATTAGATCGAAGGAAAATTTATGGATGACACTTTGTAACAATTAATCAGGAACTGTTGATGAAGTTGGCTCTTTATTCTAGAACAGGGAAAAAAAAAATGCAGCCCCTGTACAAATTGTCAAATGGCCTATTTTGTCACTCTGTTTGATTAATGGACTATTTGGAGTCCCCAAAAAGTCCTAGTACAAATAAAAAAGAGTCATAAATATTGAATAAACTCACAGCATGTTTAACCTTGACTATATTTTGGAACATTCTTGAGGAAAACTTTGCTATTCAGAAAACCAATTGCTAAGGGGATTTAAAAAAAAATAAATAATAAAACTGGAGATTTTGGAGAATGTCACCTACCCAACTTTGTCATCCCGATTAGCCTGCCATGATACATTAGCTTTAGTTAGCTTTGCAATCAGGTCAGCAACTGCTGGCACACAACCACATTTTGCAAGTGGGGCTACACCTGGTCCATAAAAGCAGCACAGGATGGCAAGGAAAATGCTGCTTTTGGTGCTTTGTATGTCACACAATGCTGGGACTGCTAACAAGCACTTATCCTTTTGTACTGTAATTTATGGAAATGGAGCCCAAGGAGTGCTGAGAGCACAGGAGTCATGGTGCCATAAGGTTGCTTCTGAAAGGTTGGTTGAAAGATGTCCGGTGATCTGTGTATATGCAAATGGTAGGACCCGAGTTTCAGCTGCAGGGAACACACACACACACACACACACACACACACACACACACACACGCACAGAGAGAGGCACACACGTTCATACGTATGCAGGACACGCAGTTTCCATCCTGCTCCTCTGTCTGTATTTGCAACTCTGGTGCCCTCCTCCCCCAGACTCTCCCCCTTTTGCCCCCCCCATTGCTTGATGCAGCTGTTTAGTCCTGACAGGTCTGACCAGTCATTTTTGCTAACCTCTGATAGCATCTAGGTCAGAGTGATCCCAAACTGCCTGGCTTTTGTTCTCAGTGAACAAGAAATACAATGCTATTAGTTTAGGCTGGGGTTCCACAAAGCACTTAAACTCCACATGCCTCACTCCAAGCATGCAAGCAATTCCCCTCTTCTCCTTCGGCAGGTCACTTAAGTGCCTGCTTAAAGTTAGGCATGTTTCAGGCATGTTTGGGCTGAATCAGGCCCTCACTCAGGAGAAATAATGCCACTTCATATTTCATTTAGTTGGCTGCTTTTGCCAGCATGTGTCATCTGCCAGCTCACTAGCCCATCTAAGCTGACATACATGCAATAATGTACTTCAAAGCAAAGATTATTCAGGCTCAGGAAGTGGGAGAGATTGTGAAATCTGTGCAACCATTTCCATTAGGAATGTAAGAGAGCTGTACAATAATAATTGCTCGTTAGATTCTGTTTATTCTTTAAATGTAACACAGAGAATCAAACAGGGCGATTGGTTTTTTGCCTCATCATATTTCATTCTGAGCTATAAATAACACTTTTCAATCCACTTTTATCCCCACAATTCCCCACGATCACAGGTAGCCCTCTACATCCCAGCGAAGAATAGCATTACAACAGAGAGAGCTGGGCTAGAGATTGTGCAAGGTGTTAGGTGTCCGTGCAGGGAAACTGAAGCGCTAGCTCCAATTTCTTTCTGCTGCAGGCCATATCCATTTGATCAGCAGTGGTCAAGGGAAATGCTTTTCCTAGAGAGGTCTACCTCAGGAAAATGGGGCCAGGGAAGGTGCAGAGATAGTTTAGTCCATTTTCACACTTGTAATTCAAATTGCTCGTGGAGCATGTGGAAACAGCAGTGAAGCATGAAATTTTCAAGACCTCCGAGTATTTCTTTGTGATGTATGACTGAAAATCTTTTATAAAGTACTTTCATAATTATACAGTACTATGGCCTGTGGTTACAAAGCCCAATGGACATTATCAGGCTGAACTAGGCTGGCGTGAGGCAGGATTTTTGGGGGTAAGCTGGCAGAGAGCTTCTTCTGAAAGGAGTGCAGGCAAGCAAGCAGGCTGCACTTCCCACTGCTCAATGCATGCCAAGCCCCAGGGGCAATCACTGCACTGGACACTGGCTTGCTCTTTTCCTTGGTTTCTTTGCAAAACCACAGTCTTGACCAGCAGTGATTATTAAGGATGGGTGTTTTCACAGGAGAAGGGTGTTAATTCTGGTTAAATTCTAGCCCTGGTAATTGCACTCTTCTCAAAGGAATTCCTGCTGCTGATTCACCTGGGAAAGCCACAGTAGTCCTTAATCCCCAGGCTGAGCCACAGAGGGCTGTCACAACATGCTGCATAACTGGATGTGGGGTGCAGCTCTTCCAAGGTCTCTTGCTGGTGTGTTTCGTGTGGGATTTACAAACATTTACTAGGTCAGGAACACTGAGTGAACCTGAACAGACTGTTTAGCTCAGTGGTTAGCACGGTCACATGGGAGAGAAGAGACTTGCACTCCGTTTTCTCAGCCAGTTAAGTACCTGCACAGCTAAAACCCACACACAGCTCTGGAAGGTGAAGGATGCCTTCCTCATCAAGTGCAGATACTAAGAGTGAGTGTTATCAGGCACAAGAGTGAGCGTAAGCAAGTAGGTATCAAGATCTGGGTGCTTATAGAGGTGCCCAGATGTAAAGCTTAAAGTGCTTTCAGGCAGCAGTAGCAGAGTAGGAAACTGTGACTCAAACTCTGTGCTAACAGGACTCTCATGCTACAGAGCAGTGCTTCTGCTCTTTGTGCAACAGAGATACTAGAAAACATAGCAGAGGAAAGCATTATGGCTAATGAGAAAGGAAGTGACTTTAAGGTGTAGTGATTATGATACCCAGTCGGGTGTAGGGTGTCTGACTTCTGGCTCCTACTTTACTTAATATAATTCATATCAAGAAAAGAAGCTTCAAAAAGGGATATCCCTGTTCAGAAATAGTCCCATATTTTTGTGGTTAGGGTACTTCCAAAAAGTGCATTTGAAACGCCTTGGAAAGCTGAATTTAATTCTCTTCCCTGCCTTCATCTCATGTAGGAGCTCAGATCACCTCTTTTTCAGGGCTGGGTTATTCATATCACAGAGATGCCTACCAGACTGGATCCCACACGGGACATGGAAGTGACATCTCATATGCAAGTGCCAGCACAGCTTAAAGGTAAACTAAGAACATAACACCTTTGCAGTACCTGATGTTAGGTGTGTGCAGAAAAGGACATGCATCTGGAAGACCTTGTTGCCTGAGGAACCTTACCATTGTTGGAAGAAGGGCAGACAGCTGGGGTCCCTGGGTGCCTCCTTGGTACTCTGCTGGTGAGCAGAGGTTTGGATGTGTCTGAATTGGCAGATTTTCATTAACTCCCAAAACATGTTTGTGTTGCTGTTGCAAGGAGTCTTTCAACATAGGAACTATAGGAAGGCTTTTCTTTGAAGCTCCTTTGGAGCACCATCAAGATGCATTGCGTTCTAAAATAAAGTGTTCTGAGTATCTTTTGTGAAGCTGGCAAATGAATAAGATCCACCCCATCCCACTTTCTCTTCTTCTAACTCTCCCAAACATAAAACAGGCACTAAAACAAAATTCCTGTTACTAAACACTAGGTAGGCTTTTCCTTTGATGACTGCTCCCAAAAGAGAGCTGAAATCGAGGAAACATGGGGGAAGATTCAGTCACTTGAAGGGTGCAGATTTCATCGTTACTGTTTGCCAGCAAAAGAACACAATGCATAAGAAAAAGCATATACTAAATAAAACTAATTGCATTATACAGAGCATCAGGCATCCTATAAAAACCTGTTGCCTAAATGTGTCTGTAACAATTTATCAGCAAATGATCTTCCTGCAAGGGAGCCAAAGCAATTAGCTGGGTTTTGGCAGATCTCTGCACTCCTTTGACATACCCTGTAGTAAAACAGGCCACCAAAATAAAGAGAAAAATCCCATATACCTCAAAATGCTAGACTGGTGGTTCAGAAGTTTTACTAGGGTCCTCTCTGTGTTAATTTGCCCTATTTTGCAAAACATGTTATACACTATTCATCCTTCTATCTTCTTTCACTGCCCCTGCCCTCTTTGGCTATATGTGTCCAAGAATAAACCAGTTTCCATCAGCTAGAACTGAATTAGAAAATCAGTTTCACCTGAAAGTGGACAGGTTCATTCTTCAGGCTAAGGTTGACATTCTATTTATTTGTATTTTTAAGCTTCCTTGACTAATGGATAACTAAATACTTAGCAATGATAATGAAATAACAGGTCAACCAACACTGCCTGTATCTTATGTGGTTTTAATTTAATGCATTGTTTTAATTTAACCCTTACACCACCATTTACCAATTGATTTAGAAGATACCAAATGCAGAGTAAATGGCAGGTATGTGGTATTTTCCCTTTTAAGAGGTGTCATAATTTTACACAGTAGGATAATGCCCGCGGATCAAGCAGACTGAGCTTTCTGTGGCTGCAGACCAGGAGTATTGTGAAGATGTGACTACAGATTTGCTTGTACTTATCTCCTTTCCATGATGTCTAGGAAAAAAAGTGTATGTATGTTTTACTTGGTGCTTTGTGCTTTTATAGACTGGAACTGTGTTATTCATGGGATGTGGAGTATAATGTTGATTTTGTGTTTTGAGTCTTCTGTAATTGCAGAGTAAGAAGAACTGGGCTCTTGCTCTTCACAGATGAGAAGATACGGTCTTTGATCTTAATGCTGGGACTAGTAATCAGATGTTGGTTTCCTGGCTTTTAATGTGTGAATGAGTTGAAAGATGCTCTCAACTAGTCTTACAAGCCATGTGCAGCTGGTGAACGCTGCTTTGTGTAGCTCATTCTTGACACATTTATGATATAAAACAAATGTAGGAAGGTCTTTTGATCCATGGGTTAAGGCTGCCTATGTTTACAGAGACAAAACTGGAGTATTTAAGAGCTTTGAAAAGTATCCACATGCATGATTGTATACTCACCTTCACCCTGTTTTTGCTTATGTTTGTGTTTGCTAGCTACAGTGCTTTCTGTTAGAATAATATTAACTTTGTATTAAGATTCACTTTATGTGAGCTTCACTATTACATCTCCCCTGAGTGAAAATAGTGTGGTGAAATCCTGTTAGGCCCATAATGTCTAAGCTCAGGCTTAGGAAACGGCAGTGCTGTTTGTATGGCCATGCAGCTACAATAAACCTGCTTATTTCCTCTTCATCAGTGAATGGCACTGAGTGCTTAAGGAAGTCAGCAGTTGAGTTTTGCTTGGAATTATATGTGAAGGAGGATCCTCCTTCTTGTCATTTTATTTATCATTAACAACCATTATAATTTCTTCCCAGCGGCAATTACGCTGATATCACAGCATCTAAATCAGAAATGACACTGTAGTGGTTATATTATGTTGACTGGGCATCACCTAATTTTTAAGTGGCATTCTTGCCCCATCATTGTGATTATATCCCTTTCTAATAAGTAATATAAGAAAAGATCTACATAATGGGAAAACATACATATTAATATATTCCATGACAAACATGTTAACTTTACATATTAATCATGGTAAATAGAAGTCATGTTTTACATTTTTCCTTTTCAGTACACTGTTCTCTTGACAGCTTGCTTTCCCTCTGGTTTTATTCTCTCTAGTCCTGGTGTATGTTCCACTGCCTCTGGTTACCCTGTTAGTCACAGAAGAAGGCAGGTCACATCCATCTGGTTAGAAAGAAAAAGAAGAAAAAAAGAGAAACCAATGTTACTGGATAACGTAATTCTGCCACGCTCCTCACTGCATTCAGGTCTGTGTGAATAGACTTGGATATGTGCAATAAACATATGTGTGTGATAATGAGATTGTTGGTGGAAAGTCATCTTGAAAAGACAAGGAGCAATTAAGCTTGCTTACTTATACAAGTTAGAATGACAAGATGCCATTGCCGGCCCCACTCATCCATATAATAGGGTTCTCCTTCCCTGCTTAGCTGTACTGGGAGAAGCATTTCCTGTCAAACCTCTGCCATGACTCCACCATAAAGCAATCTGCCTTCTTCCCTTTTATACACAGTTCATTCTCACACTCACATCACTGTCCTGATTTCAACTGAGTGCCTGCTGGCAAGCACCTGAATTATAATACTTTAAGAATTCAATACAAATCCTTCATTTAACTGAGTATTTATTTGTATTGGTGTACTCTCTTGTCTGATTTTAATTGTCAGTGGGAAGATGTGCAGGTTGCTCACAAACGTTTAATAATGCAATGTGTGGAGTCAACAAATAATGCACCTTCCTTTTGCTATCTTGAAGATTTAGATAGGCTATCTTGGATGCTATTGACAAGGAGAGAAGTGTGGAACAATGGGAACATATGATAGTGTTAGATAACAATAGCTATCCTTATGCATCTTGAATTGAATGATGAAGCCATCAATTAGAGAAATAGCCCTCTGAGTATATATCATTGACAAGATGAATACCAGTACATTGTATTTCTGGATGGAGATCTTGGTGATCTGTAATTCAGAAAGGCAGTGAATAGTATATACAGTCAAACTAATCCTATGATACTGAAAATCAGAAATCTTTTGTCCTCCCCATGGTTCTTTGTTTTTTAGCTACTAGACTCTTTCACATAATGAAAGTATTTGTACTTGATATTAATTACTTAAACAATGCTTTCTCATTTAGTATCAAGATGCCATTCTTCTCCACATTCAGCATATTTAGTGGACAATTTCTGAGCCTGAAAGAGCATGAAGAGCAGCTCTTTCTAGTTGTTGTCTGGTCTCTTAATTCTTACTTACAGACATGGGGATCCCTTCACAGCCTAGGAACTACGCTCCTCCATACCAAGGAGCAGACCTGGCATCCACTTCTTACATGGCATAGCCTCCATTTTCAACCTAAATTCTCCCATGTTCTCTTTGGAATATCTGATAGTTTCTATCCCTTCTGCCTCTTCCAGCTTTGGTGTTTGCTTTTTTGTTTGGCTGGTTGTTTTATTTTTGCTTTTTTAGCTTTAAGAGTCATTAATGTTACATTTATAGCAGAGAAGGAACAGAAGAAAAGCTAAAGAGATGGGAGTTTCACTATAATAAAAAAGGAGTTCTCAGCATTTGCAGTTTCCAGTTAATTAGTTTCAGTTCTTTTACTTACACTTGAAAGTGGGTGAACATTCCACGGTCAAGGCCAAAATTTATTCTTGGATCTGTACACAGCTAATGAAATGTGCTGCATCAGTGTTACACAACGAGAATGGCTCTGTAGGAGAATAAAGAAAGAATACGAGGAAAGACTGTAATTAATGTAGTTCTAGACTACCTATAAAATATAATTTAAGGAATAGGAATAAACATTCATGACCATTATCTGTATTATTATTTTTGGTTGAGGTTTTTTAACATGGACACTTTTGTGTGAAATGAACTTTATGATCTCTTCACAGGAATCTGAATATTTAAGTCCTCTTCATGTTTGTTTGCTTGTATGCAGAAGGTCATGATATTAAAAAGCAATTCTACCAGGGATGCCAGTGATCACTGCAGTGAAGAAGAATTTCTTAGGGGAGGCAAAAAAACAGTCACCGCCTTTCCTATAAATATTTGAAAGGGCTAACGAAGTTGGTGGATCTCAGTGGCATTGACAATGTACAGCCTGATGAGGGGAAGAAACCCCCCCACATTTTTCAGGAAAGCAAGCACGCAAAAGAAATTTCTGCAGCTTTCCCCCTTCGAAATCTAATCAAATGAAACCACCTACAAGCCAATAAGCTTCTTGAGTGCACTTTGCCCTGGAAACAGTGTTTTATTATCACCCAAAACATAAATAATGCAATAAGAGAAAATGTTTGAGGTCTCCTTAATGAGCTATTGTTAAGGCACCCTTCACTCTTATCTCCTTTCATAGCCTGATGCAAAGAGCAGCATCCAGTGGTTGAGAGCGTATTTTGAGTGCTGCTAGGAAAGTACAAATGAGAAAACAGACTTAATTACACTGCTTATTGCATCTAGAGGTCCATGTGGTTTGACTGTCTGTGTTAGGACACCCTATAATTTGGAGGAATTCTCTGCACACTGGCACCATAAATGTACTGCTATCCAAAGGATGGTTAATAATCTAAAGTTGGCTGTTAACATTGCTGGAGCTGGTGTCTATAATTTCAGCAAGTGACCTGAATGACTCTGCAATGAAAGACTGAAATGTCACTCTCCTCCTTTACTTTGTTTGCCTTGAGCAAAGACTGCTCCAGATTGTGTACATCCACTGAGGTCCAAATGATGAAAGGGCAGTGCGTAAGCATAGATTCATGGCTCTGCTAAATCTTCCTGCTCTGGCAGAATAGTAGGGAGCATGGGGATGAGGGCATGTGAGAAAAATCAGGTGGTCTCCTCCAGAGCAGCTTCCACTGTGGCTATCTTCTCCCATCCCTGAGCGTGTAAAGGTGAGGCTGGCTATAGGGACCTGGTTCTCCCATGCTCTCTAGCTGCCAGCCACCAGTAAATCAGACCTGATGCCTGCGGCTAAAGGCAAAGCAAATGGTTTCCATTATCCAGGTATTTATTTTGCACCTGCTGCTGTGACAATTGTGTAATAACAGTTACGTACAGCAAAAGGTAGGTAGGCTGACCTGACTTTGAGTAGTTCATTGCTTCTTTTCATTATGCTGAGTGAGTGAGTGAGCAGGCAGAGGACTCCTATTCTTCTCGGGAAGTGTTACAGGCCATCCAGCTGAGACATCTGTGGAGTGCCAAGTGCAAAGAGCTTTCCCTTTCCTATCAGGAATCTTAAACCCTTGTTCCCATTTTGTCTCATTGGTACAGCTCAGATGCAGTAAAGGGGTAAAATACTACCAGTAAATTTCAGAAAGTTCAGTATTTGCATTTCATTTGGAAACCTGTGACATTTTGGCATATTTTCACTGGAAGGCCAGGGCAATCCTGATTGAAGATCAGTGTCGGCATTAAAATATACAAGCTATGGAGAGCTGGTGTGCTTCAGAGCAAAGCCAGCCTGCCAGGCACAGAACCAGGGCAGCCCTGGGGCAGAGGATAAGACTGAGTGTTAGGGTTGGTGGGGGTTTTTTTAGTACAGAATTGAACAAAAAGACTAATTCGCTCACAGCACTCTCAGACTCACTCTTCTCGGAGTAAGACAGGTTACTAGTGCAAATATGCTTGTTTTCTTTAAAATCACTCAGACTTTCATGCACAGTGCCTGGTGTACAAGTGTCAGAACTGGGGGATGTTCAACCTTTCCACTTACTGTGTGATAAATAGCAAAGCACTGGAAAAGTACCATTCCCTGTATTCCCTCCAATACAGTACGGTTAGCTTTCAAGGACTGAGAAACTTTTCCATCATTTGGATGAGTGTGGATGCCTGGCAAAATTATGCTGGGAAGTCCTAACAAAATCTAAGCCTGAATGACTGTGTTCACTCCCCTCAGCCATCATGAAGGCACTATCAACATTATGTTTATTGAAAGCTTTAAGAGGTACCACTGCTATTTATATATGACAAGTGGAGTCCTGACTATATTTCTGAAAGCAAAGAAATCACTGCTTTCATCTTCCCACCATGTGTTTGCCTGTAATTAGTTGAAAATGCGACATAATGCGAGGAAGGTGGAAGAAAATAATCTAGAAAGTAAGCACATTGTCCTTAGTTCGCACTGCAGATTTGTGAAGTACTGCTGTTAGATTTAGGACTATATCTGATTTACTCAGGGAAAAAGAAAAGCCTGTTGCTACTTGTTGAACTCATCTGATGTGAAGCACAAACTTTGGCTTTCTTCCAGTCAGCTGAACATACCACCACCACCAGTGTCCTTTTTTGCCCCTCTAGATACAACCTTTGTTCTTTACAGTGTGTTTTATCTGCAGCCCTCCATTCACCTTACAGAATTCTGGTTCATATCATGTGAACCGCTGCTGAACCATTTCGTACTGCTACAAATTCAGCTTTGTGGAAAAGAGGGACTATTTAGCTCCTCCCTCTTTGAACCATGATGTGTATTTTGTCACTAATGAACATGTCAGCTTTTCACAAACTAGAAAGGAAGAAATGCAATAGAAGTAGCCTCATCACATTAAACTGTAGCATTAACAGATAGAATTAAAGACATTGCAAATGAAATCATTTGGAAATAGTCCTTTGTGGGTTCTTTTTGGGCTTTTCTTTTTTTTGCCTCATCTCACTAGAAAAGATCTTGTTTTTTGAAAGCAAAAATGATGTCTATTTCTGTGGTAAAATGGAAACTTGTATATATTAGCTATAAATCTACTCAAATTTTGTTGCAGAGCCTATAGACAAAACTCCATGTGTTTTGCTAGATACAGGCATGTTACAAGACAAGGATAACTGACCTCCCCTCTGCAAAGGGAAAGAAAAGCCTGAAACACTTCCAGCAGCCTCTCACACTATGATTATTTCACCCTTCTTTTTTATTTGGAGTAGGGAGGGAGGTGGAAAGAGGGAGAAAGGATGGGAAGAATAACTATCAGATAAGACAGGAGTTTGGGGGGAGGGAGGAGGGAGCTGTTTATTAAACAGGGATGGACAATAACCTGTCCCTTGCACTTGAATTCATATAGAGAAGAATAACACTTTAGAAATGGAGGGTTGCCTTTTCTCCTTAGTAAGGTTTGCTTTGCCACCACTCATAATCAGAGAGCTCAGAACTTGCAAAGCTGCTGCTGTTCTTACCACAGCTCTTAACATCGGCAACTGTGAACAAGCTGGATTTCCCAAGACTTTGGGAATCATCTGGAGGTCCTGGGAAATGGCTGGTCTGTGTTAGAACTGCTGGTCTGTATTAGAACTGTTTTTTTGTTGTTTTTTTTTCCAGCAGCATGAACACATACAGAGAGAGAAATAAGAGCCAGGTTCTCCTCAGAGATGGTTTTTACACTGTTTCAAGAGCTTTATTCTTGCTCCTCATTTACATTCCCAGGAGGGGAAACCAACTCAATATCTCTCTTATTTGTAGGCACTTGTGATAGCAGATTGAGGTTTCCCAGCTCAGTAAGAAGTCAAATGATCCAGTAACTGACTCTGCATCTCAATTACTGAGAATACAGGAAAAATAGCACACTTGATCCACTTCCTTCTGGATACCCTTGCCACACCCTATGCAGGGAGGAAAGCTACGTTACGCTGTTTGCATGCATAGGTTATTTCATAAGTAACACAACCTGAGGAGAACCTCTCATTAGGGCTTCAATGAGGGATTACGCATAGGTGTCAAGGGGCAAATAACCCATTCGCTTTCAGCATTAGCCTTGTTGAACATTATGAAATAGCTTTCAAAACTCTGGATGCAAATAAAACTTTCCAACAGGCTGCCAGAAACAGTCATGCCAATAATGTCATGCCAGTGTGAATGAAGTCGGAGTGTTTTTCCTTTGTAGCAATCAGACATGCCAAACAATGCATTTCTGTGGAGTTGTCTTTCTTGGGAGGTTGAAATCACTTGGCTCGCAGCCTCATGCCTCCCAGCTCACCTGAGGCATGCTGTAATCAGCCAGAACCGTGCTGCATGTCATGTCTTACCGCTTCCAGAAATATACAAATTTCCTTTTCCTCCTATTCCCTTTGTGAATTAGCCCCTTAAGGGTAAGGTTTTTAAGAGAGCATGCAAGAAGCCTGTGCACAGAGCCTCATAACACATAATGAGATTTGTGTGCCTGCCTACCTCCTCCAAAAATGAACTCTAGAACAACAGAAGTTACTTGGCCTGGCACTCGCTTGGTCCTTTTGACCTCCCTTTTGTGATGGAAGATAAAGACTTCCTCCTCCTCCTACAGAAAGCCCGGAGGGTATGTTTATATGATGTGCTGTCTGGTCTTCCAGTAAACAGAGACATTTCTTGAGGTTTTCAGAGTCCTCAGCTCCTGTTCTGAAGAAAGATAAGGTTGTTCGACACTTCACAGGATAAACTTGCCTTAAGAGTTGAGGCAGGTGCAATGAGACTACATGTCCTGTGACAAAAGGCTTGAATGTAAAGTTTTTTCTTCAAAATGACATCAGAAAGCACTGTAAATCCACGAGAGCTAAGTGCTTCTGACAAGTAGAAAATTCTCACCTGCAGAATAGGTGCCAAGAACTCTTGCTCTTTCCAAGCTCTTATTTGTTACTACAGCACTGCGTAGGATTTAGCAAAGCTTCCCAGTAAAAACTTCCCTGTGCAGAACCATGTAAGCTTCTTGTACACAGCCCAATTGTAATGTGCTTTTTTTGCAAAACCTACAAGCAAAACACCACAAAAGCCCCTGGGCTGCTCTGTATTGTGGGTAAGTTTCTTGCAGTCTGCCAGGATCTGTGCTGAGCACCTGGGGAGCTGAAAATTGCTGAAGTCCAGTGATAAGGGCTTTACTTGAAGAAGGCTCTGACTTACACCTCGTGTTGAACCAGGAGTGACAAAACACCCCTTGTAACCAGCATCAATTGCAGTGATGCCAAAAACACTCCTGCCTATAACCTAAGTAAAGAATGACAGTTTAAGGAAGAGTAAGGTACACTGGAAAATATAACTGAGATCAAAGTATTATTTGCTTGAGCTGCATACACAGTTTTGTTGTCTCTCACTGAGAATCAGCAGGACATACCTGCTTATCAGCAGGCCATAGAGTTTCTTGGGTTTTGCCTTGGGTCTGCTCTACATGTACTTTTGTGCTAGTAAAACACAGCTAGTGCAGTAAGCATTTAACCCCTTCAGCGTTATCATTTCATCTGGTCTAATAAGGCCCAGCTTTATCTCTGCTCAAGAGAGGCAGAACACACCAGCTGGGGAGGGGGAAAAAAAAAAAGAAAGAAAAATTAAAAAGAAAAGATTCCCAAGTACCTACCCAAGGAGTTAATGGAATAGGGTATATGTGAAGGGGTTAAAACACTACACAGGTACAGATCCTGTGGCAATTACAAATGTTATTGAAATAAAAACCAGAAACAGGAAGCCAAAAAACAGGTCCCTAAGGCAGGCATCTGTCTTAAATGATATCATTTGTCAAGTTTCCAGCATCTTGTGGTTGTGAACACAAAAAGAAGTTCTGTGTTGTACTAAGGACATTACATACTCATTAGTTGGAATGTTCCTGAAGTACATAATACAGGATTTTCATTTAATAAGAAGCAGCTACTTGCCACTGCATTGTACATAAATTCTGGGCATGCTGTTTGCCATTCAAGGATGTTCTACTTAATTTTTGACAGGTTTTTTTCTTCCTGTCCCCCTTTAGACTACACTGTAAAAACTGTGAGCAGAATGTGTTGCCACAGTATAAAAATCTTTTTAGAACATTTTCTGATTTCTGAAATCTGGATTCTTGCAATGACAAATATTGAAGGCTTTAATGCAGATATTAAATAAAAAAAAAAGAAAATTAAGTTACCTATAGGAGTATCGTAGCAAGAAAGCGAACATATATATATGTATGCATACACACAAATACATGTATACATCTCAGCGCAGTAACTCTTCATCACCCCCCATTCGCGATGAACAAACCTAACTGTAATTAATAGGTATAGTTCCCCTATCTGAACACTATTAGTGCATTAGAGTTAACTAATATATAAGCTTCTCTCTCACTGCCCTGCCAATGACCTTAAGCTTCACATGGTAGGAAGTCCACTTGCTGTAGAATAGGAAAGTAATTTATCCACCATGATTGTTCAGCCCAGGCCCCTCTGTAAAACAGCAACTGACAATTGTGCTGTATTATAGATGGTACATTTGTGGTGTGTACAATAGTGTGCAGAGCATCGAACTAACTTCCCCGATCACTGCAGGCAGGGTTTGAAAAGTGATCCTAGAAAGAAGAGACCACTTGCTGAGTGATAGCCCTCCATTTTCAAATCTTTTTTTTCCCTCTCCAAATATCTGTCCCCCCTTCCCTTTTTTTTTTTTTTACACAAAGAGAGACCTATATTGTTTTGTCACTTTAAGTAAAAGCAGGATGTAGCTTTCCATTCATAAAAGTATGTCATATTTCTTTTTTTTAAAAAAAAAAAAAAGCTACTTTGCTTTTATTTTACCTGGGATTTCCCTGCTTCTTTCCACGTCAGGATTTAGCATATTCCCTCAAAACATAATAAATTTCGATTCTGTAGCTTAAGGGATCCATCAGTTAAAATGTTAGTCTTTCATCTTTATTACCCTCCCATTAAAATGAAAGAAACCGGGACACACTTCAGTTTAGAAGAAGCAATTTAGCTGGTAATGTCCTTACTACTCAAGTCTTTACAAAGAGAGAAAGTGCATTATTGCTTATATTTCACACATCTATCTGCATAAGAAGCAACTAAAGCTTTCAGACACATGCGATATTAAATTTAATAATAATCTTTGATTAGATTATTTTATTACAACATTTTTCCATTACCAGTCATTTCCCGTACACATTTACATTCATAAAACGTGCAGGTTTCTCTTTGTTTGTGTATGTGTATATGTATTCATAAAGCAAGGAAAAGATTTCCTGGTTTGCTACAGCTGTTAGATCAGAAAAGAACAGATTAATAACTACCCACCACGTAGGACTAGGTTTTCTTGTACACTGCACCAGTAACCCTTTGCTATAATGAGGACACAAAGAGGCTCACATCAGGCTGCTCCTCTTCTTCATAACTCAAAAGCGTCACAGTGGCAATAGCCTCTAGTGCTATTTGTCTTTAGTGCAGTTGTGACACTTCGGCATGATCCATAATTTGGCAGCTATTTACCGTGACATTTCCCTTCAGTGCAGCCATAACATTCAGTGAAGCCATTATTTGGTTCCATTTACCATATAAATTGTATTGTCGTGCATGCATGCTAGCAGCTACATTAGGTACCTGAAAATGAGTAAATCTTGTAAAAGAGATACTAACAGCTATTCAGCAGAGAAATTTCTTTACTCCTCAGACAGAAGTAGAATATACATAATATCTGAAAACACTGCCTCAAACTTTTCCTTGAGAGACTGTAATTATTTGTATTTACATGACACAGCAGTTATTCATATCCACTTATTAAATATATACCTTGTATACACATACACGCACACACATGAATATGCACATGTAAAAATACACAGCAAACTATTGCTTGGTAGAAATCTAACTCAATTCAAAAAGATATTAGGAGATTCCGGAATAGCAATCAAGTAGAAAGCACATCTGTAAAATGTGCTGAGGGTTGCAGGCCAGGAGAGAGTGAGTACGAGTGTGTCCATGTGCGCGTGCGTATGCACACATGTGACAGACTCAGGAAAAAAGCCAGCTCTTCATCTAGTTCTTTGTTGTTTTTCCATAGAAGCATATGTGTGTAGGAAAGGGAAATTCTGCTATTAGCCTCAGCAAACAATGCCAGATTCCTCTGTAGCAAATTCATTTAGAAAGGTAAAATTAGGATGTAGTGCTAGCATCCACATCTCAATGAGCTGCTATTATTAATAGTATTATTATTTAAATCCCTGCTCTCTACGTATAGTATACTTAGTACTTCCAAGGCAAATGTATTATTATTTTTAATCATTTAAGTCCCCACTGTGCACACAGCTTTTAATACACCTTTTCTGCAAGCATATTAAGTGTATTGTTATTAATCCCTTGCTGTGACTCTAAAGTATTTCTTCTCCTTGTATGTTCAATGTCCTATCATCATTTAAACCTCTCAGTGTGTGCATGCCATATACATTTTCCTACCCATCTAATATTTAAACATTATTTAAATCCATCATAGCTTACTTACTCAAAGTCAGCCCTGCTTCCATAACTGTAAGTTTGCAGAATACACCTTTAAATAAAGAGAAGTTGGCTTTTTCCCCCTGCAAACAAAAAATTATTAAGAATCTCAGCTGAAAAGCCTCATCGAATTGTTTCAGAAATACTCTCCCCTCTCTCCCTGTTGATAGTGCTCTCTTTCAGCAATCTAAATGATAGAAATTGTACCTTTAAAAAAAAAAATTACTTCTTCATTCTGGTTTCATCCGTGGAACAGCAATCATATCCTGAGTTACCCCTATAGCTCAATACAAGCATTTGATGAAAAGGACAAGCCCAGCAGCCACAGCTCAACCCAAACACCAGAAAAGCTAAAAAATTGGTACACTGGCCATACAAGTTCTGCATATAACAAATTAAAACTTTTTATTAATGCTGTAACCAGTACAAAAGTAGTAAATAATAAGCCTGAAGCCAAAATCAAACCCACCAAATGTCATATTTGAATATACATATATGTAAACCTTCCAATGGTTCTACTTTCCTTATTTTGATGAGTGAAAGAGCCTGGGGAAGTTGCATTACTCAGTGTTATACATGAAGTAACATTAAAAAAAAGTAGAATGCTGTATGTCCAAACAAAATCCTATTGCCAGAAGAAATTTTTAGCACAAAAACATTTGGAATTCACTGCCTTAGAAACACCTAAATCCATTGGACTGACAATGATCAACACCTCTGAAATCAACCCATTTGGATGGGTTTTGGCATTTGACTGCAAGAACTTAATTTATTACCCAGGCAACTCTTTTGCACGTATCACAGATGTAACCAATTGTGCTCTTTTTATCTGTATTTTGGCCCAGTGCATCCCAAATACCTTTTTTTTTAAGATGCATTTATTGACCGAGGGCACCGCCTTTTTTCTGAAGATTAAAAGAAACCATGTGCCTAGGAACAAAATAGTGAGAATTTTGTGTGCTCTGATCTTGTGCAGTCCTTCAGTGTTTCCATCTTTCTAGCATCCAGTTGGAAGGCCAACATGCCTTTGTAAATGTGCAAAACATACAAAACACCACAAAATTTGCCATATTAGAGGGGCAAGAGGAAGTATGTTTCCAACTGCAGACCTTGGTGGAAACAAAAATCATAGTGGTTTGATTGATCATAGTGGTTTCAGCTTGATAACAGAAATGGTAACTAACAAAACTCAAGCCACTCAGCCTTTCCCCAAAATCCTCCCAAGTGGGACTAAACCCCATAGTCAGCCCAAAGAGACAGTTCTTTGCTCACACAATTCTAATGACATATGCACTAAAAAAATACAGTAAGAATGTGCTAAATCAAAGTTAATAATACTTTTTCTACTGCCTGTACCACTGAACAAAATGTTTTTCCTACATGTTACTTTTTAAAATGTCATGTACAGTCAGTCCTGAATAATGTCCCAAAATTAAGGTTACCCTGGATTTTTCCTTCAACCCCTAGACATTATCAGCCTAT